GTTTAGGGGTTTAGGGTTCTTAAGGTCTGGGATTTAGGGGTTTAGGGCTTAGGGTTCTTCAGGTTTGGGATTTCAGGGTTTAGGGCTTAGGGCTTTAGGTTTACAAGCATGCTGCCCCACATGCTGAAAAACATCCTCAAACCTCTGAACCCTATAGGCTACAGGTTCAGGGTTCAAGAACTCGAAATCACCCTGTAAACTCTAAACACGAAACCCTCAACCCTAAACCCCACAGCAGTCCCAGGAACAAGTTTGTCGAGGAACGCCTCTGGAGGGGTGCAATCCTTGCTTGCTGTTGGTAGGGGATGGAACACGGAAACTCGTATTCAGGGTTCAGAGCTTAGGGAGTAGAAAAAGAAATGGAAAGTAGAACTTGTTTTGGAAGTGATAAGGGACCACAATGACCCATTCCCCCCATTCCACCGAACAGCAACCTTAAAACCTAGACCCTGCAGGACCTATGGATTCCTCCAGTATCTACTAACAACAAGTAAGAATCAGGATCACCCGGAGCCAGGGCGGTGGAACCGTAGAAAATGGCTGCAATAGCCTGAGGCTGCGCGGCTCGGGGTGTGGGAGTGGTTTAGGGGGGAACCAAAAGCATCAACCCTGAATGACTTTCCTTTTTGGTGATGACAACCCCCTGCAAAAAGCCCTTTAAAACGGGGGCTGCAGGGGATTCCATGTTAGTATGGGGGAGCGTAAACCCTTAACCCTGAATCCTATACCCTAAACCCTTTATCCCCAACAGCACCCACTTAAACCCCATACCTGAAATAAAATCCTACTGCTTCAGATCTTGGCAGCCCAGCCCCCATGCAGCTTTGCAAGGATAGCCATACAGCGCTGTGTGCAGCTTGCTTTCAGCGAGGGCGTGGCGAAGCTGAACCAGCGACAGTGGGCCTGCTCTTCTTCAGGCTATATCGGGTTACATAGGGTCATACGATCTAATGTAGTGTTACATAAGGTTTCAGGGCTTCAGCCAACGAACATGACAGTTTACAGGATGTTTATTGCGGGGCAAACTCTGCCAGAAAGACAGCTTGCACTACAAATTGCAGCGCGGTTTAGGGTTTAGGGTTTAAGGTTTAGGGTTTAGGGTTTGTGAGCAAGCGGCACCCTGGGGGCCAGCACCATGCCGAAGGCACTGTTTCTCCCGGTTTCTCTACTATCACTACATTACGATCACTATATTACTATTACCATATCACTATAAATATTTGTCTACTACTATATCTAACCAAAACATTGCCCTCCTTACTTGGAGCTCTCAACTGGCGCGCCCCCGGACTCACAAATGTGATTGCCCCCCGGCAGGACAAGAGGTAAAATGAGTGGCCATCTAGGTCACCACTCATTTCACGAGTCTCGAAAAACTGGGTCAGAACTCAGTAGACTCAACCGGGCTTAGCGTATTGGGGTTTCACAGCCGAGGATGGCTTAGGTTTTGGGGTTTGGGCTTGAGGTGGGCGAAAATCAATATGATAATGCCACTCGAAGGGGATTCCCAGCAAAAACAAAAACAAACACTACATACACGAAGTGCTGCCCACCAACATATGCTGGGGGACAGGATTCGCTGCTTAGGAGAAGTGAGGTTCTTGGCAGAGCCAGATACACGCGTGTAAGCGTCCTTCTTACCACCGGGGTGGGTAGTATGATGTAGCTCTCTATTTTCGGCAGCTGCAGTATCCCAGTTTGAAATGGTTCTCGCCCAGCTGCCTAGGGTTTAGGGTTTAGGATTTCGAGTTTAGGCAGCTACGGCAGAGTCAAAACCGTGCCAGTCAGGACGCTGCTTTTCTTCCACACCCTCGGACTTTTAGAAAAGAGGGGTTTACTTCGCTACACCATAACCCCCGGACCTAAAGCCTTAAACCCTAGACCTGAAACCCTAAATCCCTAAAGTCTGTGCTCTCTCGAACTTACCTGATTCCTGGAAAGGAACCCTATAAAGACTACCTTCCCCATAAAGGATCACAAAAGGGATCTACATGGTGTTCCATCCAAGCTTCGGGTAGGGTACCCCGCATACGGTATATACTAGAGCCCCCCAATTCCCGTATAAACCCACTATCTATTCAATTTTCCGTTTCCGCTCCATTTCACTCCTCCATTCAAGCGGGTGAGACCCCTAAACCCTAAATAGTAGCTTCCATTTTCTTCTCCATTGTTAAGACCTTGGTGATACCCCCACCCTCCTGGTAAAGGAAGACCAGCTTCCAAATCAGCTTTTCTTCCATGAAGCGCGCGAGGATTGATCGAGCTTGCCTTCGGGCTCTGCTCGCTTAGGGTCTGGGGGTCCTAGGATTTGGGGTTTGAGGCTTGGAGTTTGGAGTTCAAGGATTTCAGGGGCTTGGGGTGTAGGATTTAGGGTTTGCGGCCTCGGGCTAGGCACTCCGCTAGGGCTTGGGGTCGAGGGTTTGTGCTGAAGTTGGGCAGACAAAGATCAGACCCGAAGGTATTGTAGCATCAAATGACAAAAAAATGGAAAACGAAAGGGAAACTGCGGGTGCTCTGTGATTTATAGGGTCTGGGGGTTGGGGTGTGTAGTTTAAAGTTTGGGGTTTGGGGGCTGGGGATTCTAAAACTAAATGGAACCCACCGAGGCCCTTTGCGACGCGACAGAAGTTTTTACAGCTTTAGGGTTTAGGGTTTAGGGTTTAGGGGGTAGCTTGAGAAAGGCAACTAAACCCGGAATCCTTAAACCTACTTCGAAGCAAGGCGCATCTTAAGTGTGACGTTTTCTAGGAATTGGCCTCCCTCTCATGTACCCACAATAACATGACCTTGTTCGAAAAACCTCCAAAAAAAAGATCCCAATTCCTCCCAAACTCTCAAAGCTGCACCCTAGACATTGTCCCACCCCTCAACGCCTGAGGGCGGCGAAGCCACACAAACCCACTCTTTTGGAGGCTTGTAGATCTATACGAATTTGCCTCGCACGCCAGCAATTTTCCAATGCAAACCCCAAAGCTGAAAGGTTTCATCAGCATTTTGACTGGATGGGAGCATCTACGGCGTCTTCTCAATGAATATGCAAAAAAGGTAGATGGTTCACGCGGCGCCTGTTGGTTGTTCGCAGCGGTAGCTGTTTGCAGCCACTCCAAACCATTCGCAAATTCAGGAATGTATGATTTGTGATGCAATCCTTGTAAGTGCCGCAGCTTTGGGAGACTCGCATCTAGAAGTGTCGTCACAGGGCATGTCACGAGCCCTGCAGCTGCCAAAAGTATTGGATCCCCGTATCATCGTCGCATCTGACAAATGTCAGCGCTCACCACCTGCAACCCTCGCACATTTTGACCGCTTTGGACCCAATGTCGGCCAACAATTGCAGTCTGGGATTGGAATGGTTGGAGTGTGAAGAGCACGAGATGGCGTGGCAGTGCACAGAACGGAGTGGCATGCATTGCAGAGTGGGTCGGGTTGTACATGGAGTGGAGTCATTGGAGCAGACTGAAACAGAGTTGAAGATGCAGAGCGGACTGAAAATGTGAGCATGCAGTGAAGTGAGTGGAAAGTGGGAAGTGTAGAGAGGAGTCAAGTATGGAAGGAGGGGTGTGCGGCGAGCTGGGTGCATAGTGGAGTGTGTGAGGCTGAGTGGGGTGGAACGGCATGAGTGTGCCAGGAAGTGGCCTGGAGCGTAGTGGAATAGAATTCATCTTGTTTGACCCATATTGCAGGCCTCTGGAAAACCCTAAACCCTCAATCCCAAACCCTAAATACCCTGAACCCCGTTGTGCCTGTGCCAGCCAGTCACTCCACTGACTTTACCTGTTCATGGTTTTAAGATGTTCGGTGGTTCTATGGTTGGTCATATTTCCAACTTAACCCTCAACCTTACACCCTAAGCCGTGAGTTTAGGATTTGGGGTTTCTAGGGCCTGGGGCTTTGGCACTTTGGGCTTCCCAGGATATAGTACGAATGCAGGGAGCTCAGTGACTAGAACAGAATGTTGGAGTACACCCTACGTAGAATCCAGGTGATGTAAGAGAAATCTGCTTCTCTCGGCTCCAAGATGATGACCTCAAGGGTTTCCAGGGTTCAAGAACCTGGAAACATCTAGCAATCGTCTTGCACTCTTCTAGATGCACACTTCAGCCGAACAGTTATGAGGCTGATGGTCATTATTGACTATAGAGATGGTGTCCAATAACCACTACACTGACAACCCACTTAGGAACAGAATGTTGCACTCTTCAGCAATGTCCCAATAAGGAACCAGCTACGGAGCGCGTGCAGTTCAAGGACATCCAGCCCCATCTTCCTCTTCAAGAGCTGATTGGCCACACGCTTGCCAGGGTTGATGAATCCCAGAAAATACTCCTTGTCTGTCCATGCTTCGAAAAAAAATCTATACACTTGACCCTAACCCTCAACCCCTAAACCCTGATAATCCCCACATCCCTAAGATTCTTGGGGGCCTCCTCTATGACAAACGCTAAATCCTAGACCCTAAACTCGAGACCCTAAATCAAATCCTAATCCTACACATGAGCCCTAATTAAATCCTAAACCCGCAGCCCCAAACCTTAAACCCTAAATCCTAAACCATACATCCTAAATCCTAAACCTTGAACCCTACAGTACGAGCGTCCTTCAGAGCCAACATCAGGCTCCTCCTTGCGCTTGCAGGGCGAAGCCTTCGGATCTGTTGAAATCCTTCAAGCGCATCCACCTTTTCCTAGGTCATTCTTGGGTCAGGGTTTGGGGCTTGGGCTAGGGTTTTGGGGTCTTTGTTGGGTTAGGGCTTTCATTCTTGGGTTAGGGTTCAGGGTTCATTCTTAGATTGGGGTCGAGGGATTTTCGAAGGTTCACGTTTAGGTCTTCAGGCCTGGGCTTGGGGATTAAGACTACGCCCGCTAGTACTCTTAAAGATATCTTGAAGTCGGAACCGAAAACTCAAGTGAACAGCCCTAATCCCTAAAACACATGGGGTTAAGGGCTTAGGTCCCAAAATCCTCGAACCTCGAAAACAAGGAACCCTGATCCTCAAAACGAAGAAATGGCAGCCTCCCAAGAAACCTTGCATCATCTCTATTTATTCAGGTGGTCACACTCAGCTTGCAAATGTTGATCTGTTCCTTTGCTTCTATGAAGAGTTGCTCAAACATCAGTTTGGCTGGTTTTGGGCACTCGCTTCTGGCATTCCACAAATCAGGGATCATTTTTGTCTTCAAGCGAGCGATACACTGCACTGCCATTTGACTGTAGTCGGTGCTGCAAGTCTAAACCGCAGAACGGCAAGCACGCACCCTTTCCCTCATGGAAAAAAGAGGTCGCATAGAGCGGCGGCGGAACGATCTCAAAGGGAAACCACGAAATTGCATGATCACCATCAACGCCTCTGTCAATATCTTCACATTCGTCGATGAACCCTAAACCCCAAACCCTGAACAGCCTTAAGCTCTTCAAACTGCAAAGCCCCGAGTCTTAAACCATAAACCCTAGACCTGAAAACCCATTAAAAGAAACAGCTGCCGTTTCGTGGCCATTTCATTCTTTATTCTCCAAGAAAACTTTCCCAACAATGACCCACAGTTCCATGTACCGCACATCTAGCACCCGGGAGACTCCCAGGAGACAAGCACCAACCTGGGCTTAGGGGTTAAGGGGGGTCATATGAACCATAATCTAAACTCCTTAAAGGGGGTTATATAGGGGATTATATATGGGACTACTATAGGGGTTATTAAGGGGGATACTAGGAGTTTAGATTATGGCTCATATTGGGATATAAAGGGCTTATTGGGGAGGAATGGAAGAGAAAATGGAAACTTCCATCATCTGTATTAGGCTTTAGGCTTGTAGGGGGTTTAGCTTTAGAAGGTTTAGGTTTTAGTGGAGCTGCGGGGGTCTGAGTTCAGGGCGTTTAGTGTGTTTAGCGTGTCGGGGTTTGGGGGATTTCCTACTTAGAGAAAAAGAACTGTGAAACTCCATTTCGTGTTGAGGTTAACATCCTAACCAGGCCAATCCTTGCATCTCCACCTATAGATTTTACGCGTGCCATAGTCTAAACTCCTAGTATCCCCCTTAATAAACCCGATAGTAGTCCCCTATATGATCCCTATATCAGCCTCTTTAAGGAGTTTAGACCATAGCTCACATGCAAACGCAGAAGAAGAACGCTTCCTCAACCTAATCGTAGGTCAAAAGCCCAGATCATTAGCCGCTAGAATCGCCTACAACCTAGTAGCAAAAGAATGTTGGTAACCCCACAACTTTAGGGATTGTAGGGGTATATAGGGGTTATATAGGGACCACTTCTAGGATAGTAATTTACTAGGAATGGAAAAAGGAAATTGAAACTACTATACAACCGCATCCTCTACACTAAGCACCTCAGGAGTCATGTGTTGGTCACGGGGTCTCTTTTTGCGGGATGTGAAAAACCAAAAGGCCCTCATTACCTAAACTCTGAAACACTCAAGCCTAAACCAAAAATTCCTTAAACCTCCTACCCTATACCTTCCAACTCCTGCGAACTAAACCGACTATCAATCCGTACGGAACCCAAGCTTCTATGTCATTCTCATGTTCTTTGCCAGTTGATTCTCCATTATTACTTTTGAAACGCTACATTCTGGAAATGAACATCCTCAACCCTGGGCCCAGCAGCCAACAGAGTGCTCCAGAGGATTATGGCAGGAGCCTCCAGTGGCCAGCGCCCCGTCGCCAGGGACAGCAGGCCTTTCCAAGCAAAGAGGTTTTTGTATAAGATATACCCTACATAGTAGCTTCCATTTTCTTTTCCATTATCCCTATATAACCCCAAAATATACCCTATTATAATACAGTAGTTTCATACAAGCATTATCCCTATAAAGTTAACCCTTCAGACTTTACGTCTGCGCAAAATGCAAAGGGTCCGTAGTCCCTCGCTCGTTGGGCCCATCGATTTGAACCCCTTTTGCGGAGGTGCGTTCGCACAACAACATGCAAACTAATAGTGGCTCCTTATGGGCTTGTCAACCGTAAACCTCTCTTTCGGCTTTAGGAGGCTTCTGGCTTCGAGTTTAGGGGGCGTGGGGTTTAGGTTTTACTGTTTGGGGTCTAGGGGGGTGTATAAAACCGGGTTAGCTTTGAAAGAGCGTCAGATTTAGGACGATATGGAACATGTTGGGGATCCGAGCGGTGCAAGATTTCCTGCGGCCGTCTTTGTGGTGGTTGCAAAGCTCGTGCTTAGCATTTTACAGGGTCCAAGGGCTCAAGGCTTAGGAATTCAACGATGGAGGGATTGGGGGTTGGCTAGGCAATCCACGTAGATGTGAAGCATAGTCTAAACTCCTAACATTCACCTTGATAAGCCCTAACAGAATTCCCTGCATAATCCCCTATGTAACCTCCTTTGAGGAGTTTAGGCCATAGCTCATGTAGGTCCTGGGTCTGCGTTTCACTTGTAAGTCTGAGGCTTCGGAACTGATGTAAGCTACTGATTATCTGGGTTGCTGTCAGGAACTTAATTTAAGTTACTATATTGGGGGAACCATACTAATTACCATATATACCCATTATGGTAACTTAATTTAAATTCCTTAACAGCAACCCAGTTATAGGCAGGGCTCAAGGTTGCTTAGCGCGGACATGTTCTGAGCGTTGCGACACCACAACTTTGAGAACCCCAGAAAATCACTGGGAGTTTCCTCCCTACACCCTAAACCCTGAACCCTAAACCCTAAACCCGGAACCCTAAACCCTATATAACCCCATTATAGTAGTGTCCGTTTTCTTTTCCATTATCCCAATACAACCCCTAAACCCTAAACCCACCACCTTGGTACAGTTCCTAAACCCTGAACCCTGAGATGGAACCCACCAGGCCTTCCAGGGAGAAGATGGCTGCAGCATTGCTGCACACCAAGGTCTTAACCTACAGTCCCCCTTAAGGAGATAGAATATAGGGTATATGAGGATCTTATTATCATATACCCAAAGCCATATTCTATCTACTTAAGGGGGACTATAGGCTCTGCCAAAGAACTTCAGCTTAGGGATCTCAGGGCTTAGAACTCGAGCAAAACAACCCACACAAACACAAAAAAAAAACTGTAAAAACACATCGTCTAATAGAAAATGTATAGCCATATTGTGGCAAATACATTCAAGTTCCCAAGCAGTAAGCAAGCAACGATGGACCGCAAGATTGCAGCAAATAAGGAGAGGTGTGTGGTGGAACATCGTACCAGGCCGTCGACAACTTCCAGCGTAGCTACACCTTCCGTCGACCAGTCGCTGAGCTGCTCATCCCAAAACACACATTCCAACTCACCTTGCTTGTTTAGGGTTTAGGGTATATTGGGGTTAAATTTGGATGATGGAAAAGGAAATGGAAAGTACTATTCAGGGTCTAAGGTCTAGGGTCGAGGGTTTCTGTGAACTCACCTGGCTGCCAGAAACCTAATGGAAATATGAAACTACTATATTATGATATCGTATATTGGGGTTTTATAGGGATAATGGAAAAAGAAAATGGAAGCTACTATAGCTAGGGTAGCTATTCTGTGTCGTGTTAGTATACTTGAAGACGGATGGCGCTGGTCATGTTCACAAGTAGGGCACCCTTCAAAACTTACCAAGGTCGTGCCGTCCTTGATGCAACGGCCCCAGCACAGAAACCCTAAACCCTAAACCCTAAACCGTAACCCTAACTTTTGGGATTTGGGATCCGCCCACCTTGATCTGTAGCATTCTCTGTCACAAAACTGAACTCCAGAGGTGCCGAGAGCTCCCCACCTTACTGGTACTAGGGAAATACATTACCTACAGTTTAAGGTTGAGGGTTTAGGGTTTAGGGTTGAGGGTTTAGGGTTTAGGGAATATATTACATAGGGATCATATGGGGGCTATATTCCCATATTCCCTACTAACCACAAGGAAGCCACTGAGTTCCCTCTCGGCCAGGTGAAGTTTGATGCTCGTGGGCCGAGTTGCGAGGACATCCTGGCAAACAGAGTTAATATGTACTGGGTTCTTGTTGAAATACTATTTAAAAAAGATCTTTTTTTGATATTGGCCATAAAAATGAAAATTTTGTTCTACAAGAGCCTTGTATACAACATTGCTCATGGCCCAAAGCAATGAAATAAACACCTCAGAAGGAACTACCAGAAGAAACTTTAGTTTCTGCAGTTGCAGCAGTGGTGTGGTATTGGTCGAGCCGTCTTGGTGCCCGCAGAAGCAGAATTCGCAGCACACGCAGAGCAGGAGGATGAGGAGAAGCATCGGAAATCATAACACTTGAAGTAGTAGCCTTCGTACCTAGTAGCTCTGGAAAAGTTTGGGCTGCACATCGGGCATATTGCGCTTGGAGTCAGATGGGATGGGTGAAGTGGTAGTTTCCATAAGTAGGGGAACTCCGTTATAGACGCCAAAATACTATAACCAGTATGATGGGGACCCCCAAAAAGTACCCCCAATTTGGAAAGCCCCAAGTGGTTTGGGCATGAATTTCGGGTAAGGGCTTGGCATAGACTTAGGGTGCCAATCCTTCGGCTGATGCCACCTGTTGTCTGAGGCCTCTATCATACTCATCTCACACCCGACCAAAGCCGATCCAGCCCATCCATCCAAATCTGAGGCTTTAGTGTTTAGGGTTCAGGGTTTGGGGTTGAAAGTCTTTTGAGGGGGCCAAGTGCTGTAGAATCCCCACCTTGGTTGCGAAGGTGTCGCAAGCCGCTTCCGCTTGCCCAAGCCCATCCACACACCCGCACCACCGCACATCACCATACCTATCCCGCACCAATTCCGCTCCCACACCAGACTTGCTGCAGTTCTGCCCCAGGCCACCTCAAACCCACCCAAAGCATCCGCCGAGCCACTGGCGCGCGCCTCGCCCTGAAGGCCCACCTCTCCAAATACAGCCTCATGGCACACTTCCGCTCAGAATCTACTCACATGTGCGGGAATTGGAGAATCCTGATCCTGGGTCCGAGTCGCATGGGATCTGGAAGCCCTGCTGCAAAACGTGCGCACGGAACAAAATCCCTGCCTGAAGACAGCTGACGGAGAAACGGAACGATGATGATGCAGATGATGCTGGCCCAAGGTCTGGTAAGACCTGCAAATACTCCGGCCGTCTACCTCCAAATCCTGGCTGGACCACCTCAAAGTAGCGTTCATACCACATGGGTCGCTCACTGCTTCGGCTTCTGGCCGACCTCCGGTATGGCATGCAAGCGCCCCCTCATCTCTTCAAGACCTCCCCACTCAATCACAGCAATCATCACTGATGCCACACGGATGGCTCCCAGCCAAGCATGCATGCTGCGCGCCCCGGCCGGGCTTCCAACCTCAACTCCAAGCTTTCCAACCGCTTGCGGGAGCCAAGGACACTGATCATACTGGCCCACCTCTCCCCAAAACCACCTCCCCAGCCGTGGGCTTCAATGAGGGTTCCCCTGAACGGTGGTCCCCGAATGTTCAGAAACGCTAGTCCGTATAATCCATAGAAGCCCAGTTTCCCGTTCATGTCCCTTGTCCTTTCCATTTGAATCTCCATGATAAGGGCAATATGGGGGTAAAGGTCGGGAAGTGCTGCTGTCAGTCAAGCGGACGCAGCAAGGCTCAGTACAAGGCTTGGGAGCTTTACCAAAATT